CTCATTAAAAGTTAACCGTTAAATATAACTAACAGAACTAAACGGTTGAATTTTGACGAGACTAAAATGGCTTGGTCAACAAAAGTATGAGATTTATTCGTGTTTGTCTAGAAGTTGAAGGTTAAAATAGCGTATTTGTGAGTTGGAGATTTTTTTGGCTTATTTTCGTAAGTCAATGGTTATTGTAGCAAAGATTTATAAATAGTATACTATTTATGTACGGAAAAGATTATAATATCCTCAATGATTATTGACTGATTTTTTTTTATATTTTGTTAAAGGTTTATATCATTTATGTATTTTTAATATGTTGTTTTTAACATTGCTTTTAATTTATCGTACCCGCTGATTTTATAAGGGATGTGATATAGGTTTCGTAAGAATCATATATATAACGGAATTTGACGTTACACATACATCATAGTGATCTTTCATTTTTTTAAAATCTGGCTCAATTTGATTTCAGTTACTGACATTTGTTATCAAATTAAAAATCCGTAAAAGGGCCCAAAAAAGTCTCTAAGTGAGAAATTGTGGATCTTTAGAATGTCGATGATGATGTTAAACGCTAGTCCGGTGGCTGGATTAGGTGTTAACCTAACACCAAGCGTAAAAATTGAAGATTACAAATGAATTACATAGGACAAATATTAAATGATTTAATATGTTATAAAATATGTTAATTTTAATTTTTAATTTTTCATAAAATATAAATTTAATATTGTATAATTTTCATCAAAATTATGTAAATAATTTGCATTTGGAATATTTTAGATTAAATAAATAAATAAAAATACTTAAAATAAAAAAAAAAATAAAGATAATAAATAGGCGGCTGCCTTGACAACTAATCTGTCATTTAGACAGACTAAAATCTGACTTCCGATTTTTTAGACCAATTTGGCATAAATCAAGGAAAATGAATGGCACCTAGCGTCTAGACACCCTATTTTTAGAACAGGGCATCATATGATCATAAAAAAAGACAAAGCTTTTGATCTCTTCTCTTTTCTCTCCGTGAAAGATTTTAGTGACAGGATAAATGAGTAGAGAGAGAGAGAGTCAACTGCAAATAGATAACCAATGAAATCTATTAATTTATCAAGTATTTATTTATCAACAAATCAGTTGAGACATAATGTGATATATAAAATGAGACCAACCAAAACAAACGATTTTTACAATCTATGTGTTTATGATACGCTCCAACGTGTTTACTTCAAGAAGACGTTCCATGAGAAGAAGAAGAAAGAAGATGAGAAGATAAAAGAGAAGAGAATGGAACTTACGGATGAAGAAACAGAGAAGTCAAAGACTAGGGTTGACATGGAAGGTTCGGAACAACAAAAAGGAAGCAAAACCGCAGAGTGAGACAGAGGCTTTGCTGAGTTGGTTGTTACGATTTCAAATAAAAGACTATTGAATTCCTTTCATTTCTTTTTATGTTGAGATTTGTTGTGAAGTGTCATTCTGAGACCCTTTCCTACATTCGCTTGAGAGAACTTGATTGTAAACCTTTGATATTTCATTTATAATGAAGATATCGTATTATTCAGTAGATTGAGAGAGTATTTGAGTGATTACAGGTGTTTATAAGGGAGATTACAAGTTCAAACTTATCAAATTGGTGCGTTTGTGGCCGATCAAGCTTGCGATGCTGATGATTGACGATTGCGGCGAGGTTTCGGGTGATTTTGAGGGATCGAAGACGGTGAGGAGTTACGAGCTCTCGTTTATTCTGAGTGTGAACGATTATAGATCTAAGTGAAAATGACGGAAAAACATTTCAAATCGGTGGAAACGATATTATCGTCTTATGACACTCGTTTTAATGCTCTGGATAAGCTTTTCGATCGATTGACTCAGGTAATGTTGGATCAAAAATCGGAGAAGGCGCAGAGGAAGAGAACCACGACTCCTGATTTACAAAATCCAGATATCTCGTCGTCTTCACGATCTGTTCCTAGATATATGTATCCAGGTTATCAGCTTCCTCATACTGTTTTTGAGAATCATGGGAGTTTATTGAAGAAGGTTGAGATGCTTGTGTTTTCCGGTGTTAATCCGTTTAATTGCTTGGCTCGTGTGGAATGGTACTTTCGGATTAGGAATTTTCTTGGAAGGGAGAGATTGCAGTTTGTTTATATGAGTTTGGAGGGGCTGGTGTTGAATTGGTTTAATGCGGAACTGAAGAATGATCCTTTCATAGATTGATTAAAATTTAAGAGAAGGTTGGTGTAGCGTTATAAGAAAATATTGGAGGATGAACTGGGTAAACAACTCTTTGCCTTACAATAGACGAGATCAATCATGGATTATGTCAACGAGTTTGAGGCGTTGCATTCCGCAGTGATGGAAATTGATGGAAAAAAACTTGAGCATGTTTTCTATAATGGTTTGAAACCGGAGATGCATGAGATTATTAAAATGAAGGAACTTAAGGGACTTACTGAGCATATTACTGCAGTCATTGATATGGAGGGGAGTGCTTTTGTAAGTCTGTGAGTCCGGCTGTGCAAGATAAAACATTTTGACGCCCTAATCTGGTTTCTGCTGCTAAAACATGGCCCAATACTGCTCCGAATTCATGACTTCTACAAGGGGGTATGGATAAAGGACCGTATTCTAACGGGGATGTTCGTCCTCGTCAATGCTATACTGACACTGAATTAGATCAGATGCGTCGATATGGCATTTGTTTTTAGTTCAAAGGACTGTATGTAAAGCCTCATTTGTGTCCAAGGAAGGAGCTTCAGATTTTAACAATTTTTAATGGGTTAGAAGTGGAAATTCTTGATGAGCTTGTTGAGTATGTGGAAGAGTCAGAAGCTGACAAGGTACCTATGGAGCTCTCTTTGAACGCTTTTCTTGGGATTGAAACTCCTACTACTATGAAGATTAATAGTATTTTTGGTCAGCAAGAGTTTGTCGTTATCATCAATAGTGGTGCCAGACATAATTTTGTTGCATCTCATGTGGTTCAGAAAGCTAAACTCTTTCTCTCCGCAGACATGAAGTTTCAGGTGTTGTTGGGGACATGCGTGACTATAGAAGCAATAGGGATCTGTCGACATGTTCCTTTTCAGTTGCAGGAAGCTCAGTTTATTGGTGATTGCATGGCTCTGGAGCTGGGTGGTGCTGATGTGATACTTGGTATAACAAGGCTGTGAACCATGGGTGCTTGTTTGATAAATTGGGAGACACATGAAATGTCTTTCAAACAAGGGTCTCGTACGCTAACTTTTCACCGTTGTCCTTCTCTACATTTCAATGCGTTGAGTTAAGGACTATGGTTATTCCAGACTTTGGGGAGGTGCTTGAGTTGAGCTCTGCTACTGTGTCTTCAGAACATGTTTCTCCGCGTATTAAGCAGTTGTTGAATCAGTTTACGAGTGTGTTTTCTTACCCAAAGATTTACCACCAGTTCAGGGTAGAGCATGCCATCCATTGGACAACAGGGGTGACTTCAATTTCAGTAAGATCACCTTACCGTTATCCTCATGCTAGCAAGGAGGCTATTGAAACTCCAGTTGCACAAATGTTGCAGAGTGAGATTATTAGACCGAGTTGCAGTCCTTTTTCTAGTCGGGTGCTGCTGGTTCGGAAGAAGGATTCTTCACAAAGATTTTATGTGGATTCTCTTAACCAGACAACCATACCAGATAAATATCCAATTCCGATGATAGATCAACTGCTGGAAGAACTTTATGGAGCAACTATTTTTATTTGAAATTGGATTTGCGTTCGGGCTATCATCAAATTCTTATGAAGGAATGTGATGTGGATAAGACTGCTTTTCACACACATAAAGGTCACTACAAGTTTTTTGTGATGCCTTTCGGCCTCACAAATGCACCAGCTACATTTCAAGGGTTAATGAATGACATTTTTCTCTTCTGTTGCGTCGGTTTGTTTTGATTTTCTTTGATGACATTTTAGTGTATAGTACTTCTAAATCTGACCATGTGGGGAATCTTCGTGCGGTTCTACCAATTCTGATTGATCAAACATTGTTTGCTAATTGCCAAAGTGTGTGTTTGACAGCTTCAATTTGAATATCTATGCCATATCATCTTTGTTAACGGCGTGGATACAGGTCAGGCCAAAACAGCTGTAATGCAACAGTGGCCTACTCCGCGTACTATCAAAGAACTACGGGGTTTTTTGGGCCTTACTGGCTAAGATAGAAGAGAAGATAGTGAAACTTACGGATAAAGAAACAGAGAAGTCAAAGACTCGGATTGACTTGGAAGATTCGGAACAACGAGGAAGCAAAGCCGTGGAATGAGACATAAGGTTTGCTGAGTTGGTTGTTATGATTTCGAATAAAAGACTATTGAATTCCTTTCATTTATTTTTATGTTGGGATTTGTTGTGAAGTATCGTTATGAAACCTTCTTCTTAGTTGGTTGTTACGATTTCGAATAAAAGATTATTGAATTCCTTTTTTTGATCAAAGACTATTGAATTTCTTTCATTTATTTTTATACTGGGATTTGTTGTGAAGTATCATTATGAAACCTTCTCCTTAGTTGGTTGTTACGACTTCAAATAAACGACTATTGAATTCCTTTTTTTATCAAAGACTATTGAATTCCTTTCATTTATTAGAATAAAAGACTATTGAATTCCTTTTTTTGATCAAAGACTATTGAATTTCTTTCATTTATTTTTATGCTGGGATTTGTTAAGTATCGTTATGAAACCTTCTCCTACGTTCATCATAAGAGCATAATTCAAACTTAGTGATTGTTGAGAGAACTTGATTGTAAACCTTTAATATTTCGTTTATAATCAAAAGATCGTATTATTCAGTAGATTGAGAGAGTATTTGAATGATTAAGTTCAAACTTATCAGTTTATTGAACAAAAAAAGTTTGACAAGTATAATATGTGCATAGGGAATGTAAACAAAGGTAATAACTTAACAGATAGGTCCTGTTACATATGGCTTTATACATAACATGTACGTTTACATTTTAAACAGAAACAAATTGTGGTCATGTGCCTGGGAAAGAGCTAGGAGTGGTGCTTGATAAGATGATAAAGGCACAAACAACAGAAAGAGAGAAAACAGAGACCCAAGTATTCTCTGTATACATCTCCATCGCGTCTGTTAACGAAAACCTCGTCCTGTTCTCTGCCCAGTTCCTTAGTCTGTCTGCTTCCGCTGCATATAACGCCCGTCCCTGCAAACAAAATACCATTTTTTTTTTGCGTAAGCGATGGCTAAAAATCTTATTGATAAGAGTTAGCCCTCCTTCTTAGTTACTTACTTGGTCATCGAACCACCTGCTTCTCCTGAGCCATGAAGTGACAATGGCAAGCAATATCCTTGGAGGAGTTAGATAATTGACTGATTTTCCTGAACCTTTCACAACACGCATTCGTGGTACTAGCGTTCTAGCCACTGTCTCCGGAAGCTCACATATTATGTTAAACATCTGCTTGTTTTTTATGCTCGAACCACTGCCAAATAAGATGTGATAATTAAAGAATTGATTCATTATTTAAAGAGGGAATTGTTCTGCATACCTAAGAAGAAGTTCAGTTAAAACCATGCCAGGGGAAGCAGTGTGCAGGCCAACTTTTGTTTTTTGCGACTCTTTCACAATAGAGCCATGAAATTGTCTAAGTCCACATTTTGTTGACCCATATCTGCAAGAGATGGTAAAAAGACTCAGAAAAATTGGAATCCATTCAAGACAGTATCTATGATTTGATTACTTACACGGCTGTGAGAGGAGTGCTAGAACCTCCTGAACCTGCACCATCCATGTTAAAGATGTGCCCACCGTTGTCCTGTCTACTCATCACCTCCATCGCCCCTCGTGTGCATAGAATCGATCCAATCAAATTTGTGGAGACGATCTGCAACATTTCAAATATTCAACCAAGAAACTCCACACCCTAGTTACAACAAGTCCTAAGTTAAATTAAATGAAGGATTCTAACCTGTTTGATATCTTCTTCCGTGAAATCGAGCAGTGGTCTAAACCCTTTGTTAGTACCAGCATTGTTGATCTGTCCAAAGAATAAAGACAACAATGAAAAATATGATATAAGAGAGAAGAAAGCATTAAAAAACACATGAAAGATGTTTTTACCCATATGTTGATGGAACCAAGCTCTTTTACAGCGAAATTTGACAATTTCTCAACGTCCTCGGGTTTACAAACATCACATGCAATACCAACCACCTTAGCATCAGCCAGTTTCTTTCTAGCTGATTCACTGGCGTTACTCACTATCTCCTTGAGGTTTTGTTCAAGCTCTTTGACAGTCATATCAACCGATTCAGAACTGATTTCACAAAGCAAAACCAAACAAATCATAAGACTAAATTTCTTGAGAACAATAAAAAAGAAGAAAGATTACATAATGTTTTATATGAAGGCTACTACCACCTGCGAGATGTAACGATCACTCTATCTCCAGAGAGAAGAAACTCTCTAGCAAGAGCTTTTCCTAGTCCCCTCGTACTAAACATACAGATTCAAAACACACATTAGCACCATAGAAAACTAAAAAAAAATTGGCATTGTTTGTAACAGAAGGCAAAGAAATTACCTTCCGGTTATAACAACATTGCGTGGACCGGCTCGGTAATGATCTTCTAAAACCATGTTAGCACCAGTCATGGTTCCAATGATAATTCCACCAAGCCAGCTATACCAAACCAATGAGTTCATCGAATTATCTCCACCTTTTCATTACAACATATACACACAACTTAGTCGGACCAAAATTTAAAACCTTTCAAAACATATGTTTTTACCACTAACCTGACAACTGAAACCCAATTAAGAGAATAGCTCCAGTGCTTGTCATCGTAACAATATATCTCGCAATTTGAACAGCAATCTGTAAATAGACCAACACAAAATCTTTAAGAACCAAATTTGCATTTATTTATGTAAGAACCAAGGAATGAAAAATCCGAAGGAAAAGGAGAAAGCTTTACCGAAGAGAAAACGATCTCTAATTTTTGGATTTTCTGAGTATACTCATCCTTAGATAAGAACCCTAACTTACTAACACCAAAGACACCAGATTTGAGAGAACTCCACAACCCTTTTCCCTTGATGATTTTCTCACGCTTTATCTGTCTTCCGACCTTTTTGTCTTCTGAATCACCCTCACACCGATGCACATAAACCCTATTGCCTCTACAGTTCAATCTTGACCCGACCCGTTGATGATCCATGAATCCGAGGCGGTGTTCCAGACATCGTGGGAATACTTGAAGCCTCGTTATAGTAGTCATAGCTAAACCAGAGAGTGAGACAAGAGTTTTAGAATCTCTTCATGCAAAAAAATATCAAGGTGAAAGAGGATTTTTCTTTTCTCGTGGGCAACACATAAGAGATTAGATATTTTAAGCTTCCTACTCGTCGAAGACGTTAAATAGGGATCGGAGAAGGAAAGAGATGAGGGCGAAGAAGAAGAAAGGAGGTGCCGAAAGAAAGAAAGAGGAAGAGAAGTGTGATGACCACACGTTACAGCAACCTCATCTCCTTTGCCAACCAATGACACGTGCCACTTGTTCACGATATTTTCTTCTTTTCTTTTGGGAGCTAGTAGGGCATTCGCTAAATTCCACAATCCAAAATCTAAACGGAAACCGAACCAAAATTCCGATTTGTATTTGAATTGAAATGTAAAAAGAATATCTGAAAGGATTTTGTAAGATAATATGAGTCTGATATACCATGATTTTTTATCCTTTTTTAACACCATGATATAATTCATTTATATAATTTTTATTTTATATTATGTTTCAAGTCTGTTTTGAGATCGATCTAAAGATCTAAATTTGCTGATAAAACAGTTGTGGAAACTAATACAATTTTTAGACTCTTTTGTTGTTTCGATTTTGCGTAGTAAATACTAGAGTACTTGTTTCTTCTTTGGTACTTACTGAGATCGATGGCCTTTCATATGCATGGACAAGTTTATCAGTTGCAACAACTTTGTTACTAGGGATTAGACATAAGATCTATTCGAGTTTTGATATAAAATCATGGGAGAATCGCTGAATTCTGATTTTATCACATGCACGATCGACTACCCCAAATGTTTGGATAATCCATCCTAGAATGATTGTAAGTGATTTTATTAGACATAATTCAAGAAAATGTGATGTTGGAATTATTAGGAACTTCGTGGCATATGAAGATATATCATTGATATAAGTTCAAGTCGATCTTTACATCATGACTCTTACTGTTCGAACTTTACAAAGAATGGTTTCTATATTGTTAAATCAACGTACTGGGTTATTAGAAACATACACAAAGCTGATGAAGATGTTGTTTACACATAACCAAATTTATGAAGTTCTAAGCCTTTACTTAGAAGATAAATGCCTCCAGAAAAAAATGTTATATTATATGACAGATAATCACATAACATGTAACTGTCACAAGGAATCTAAATCATTGTCATATGTCCAAGATATGGGAAATCTGATGAGTTTGTAACTCATGCTAATCTTCAAATGTCCCTCAGAGCTTCAACCTTGGGTTCAATAAGAAACACCTACTCATTTGAGTATATTTCATGTGTCAAGCATATACACTAATATGGAATATCTTATATGCATGAAGAATAATAATGAAGATCCAGAAATGGACATAGATCATTAATTTACCAATCAATAATTTGGTATCTTTGGAAAGTAACAAATGATAAATTATCCAGAGAAATTGATAGAAGCTTATTTGAGCTGATCATACATGCAGAAAGAGAATGTCAAGCATGTTTCATGGCAAATGCACACCTGGAAATTTGACTCAAACATCAATAGTAATAACTCAAATCTTATGCTTAGAGAATATATGCTTGGTAGATGGTTCTTGGATATCTACAACGATTTTTGGTGGATGTAGATGAGTCTGGAAAAATAGTTATGGACAAAAACAACCTATGAACACAAGAAGTCTAAGACGAAGAGAACCCGCATTGCATTCAGAGTGAAAAACAATATGTTTGGGAATGGAAAGCATGTTACGACATGTCAGCACTTCAGGACTGACTACAAGGACTTGATAGTGATGATAAAGGAATCTCAGGCATGACCGACTTTCTCAACAAAGTTCAAAAAGATACAAAATTGAAAAGAAGTTTTCAGGACTTTAGGATATTTTATATTACCGGGGACAATGCAAGACTGTTGATTTCTTACGTAGAACCGCTCGATCTTTTCATAGGTCTCTTTATTTGTTTGGTTATTCTATTTCGGTCTAGTCATCCTGATCACTTCAAGTTTGAAAAATAAAATGATTTTTTGTTATTTTTAACGCTGATTTATTATGATAATAATTATGAGAAAGATTACATAGACAATTCGTCAACTGACAATACTACCTACATTATCATGATCTACACCTAACTGCATCCTTAGTTGTCCTATGAAGATTCATTTATGGCCGTGTTTACTTGCACCATGCTGAAGATCCCTTGTAATACATTCTTTTGTAGTCTGCATAATTATTTAATAAATTGCTTTCACCGGGATTGAAACTTGGACCTCTTGGTGTATAAGCATTAATGGGGACTTCCACAAATGGCTTTTTGTCTCCAAAAAAAAAATATATATCCTGCTTATTCTTTAATTAAATATGAAAGCCTTAGCACTTAGGAAAATAATAAAACCTAATAAACTTTGGAGGAATTTGCCAAATATGACTCAAAACTTGATTTTAAATGCAAAAATGTATTCAAACTCAAATCAAATACAAAAGTAACTCAAAGGCTAGTGAAATTACAAACATCCCCTCATGACCAAACAAAAAACAGAATTGTAGTTTACCATTATAACCTTGTGAGTGAGAAGACTTTCAGGTAAGTTTTCTCATGAGAAGACTTACCTGAAAGTCTTACCATGCTGTAGATCTTAAAAATAATTTATAAATTTAAGAAAAAATATTTTGGTTAGTAAAAATTCATAATCATGTAATTATTGACATTTATAAATGATGTAAATATAGTTTTAATAAAACTGAATAGTTTTCAAGATAGATGAGTGAATATAAGTTTGTCATGATATTCTTTGGTTTAGGTTTGGTAACTATGTTGTAGTATTGTATGTGTTTTTACGATTAGATTGTGGAATCTTAACATTTTTTTTAAAAAAAGTAAAATTTAGCTATATGTGTTTAGTTTTGTGTAGATTAAACACTTTACAAATTTAATTTAGTTTAATAAAAATTTTGTATGTGATTTAGTTATATATATTTGACCTATTTGATTTTGGAGTTTTGGAAGACTTATGAAGACTTAATAACAGTTTCCCGCTCAAAATTTAGTCTTCCAGTGTCTTCTAAAGTCTTCCACGAAAAATCTTTTAAGTTTTCCAGAGAAATTCTTCTAGTGTATTAGTTCTTAAAATAATTTATAAATTTCATAAAAAATATTTTGATAGGGAAAAAATCATAATCATCTAATTATAGACATTTTAAGTGATAAAATTGATTTTTTCAACATAGATGAGTGAATGTAACAAAGCATGATATTCTTTGGTTTAGGATTTGGTAACTATGTTGTAGTATTGTATGTGTTTTTTATGGTTAGTTTGTGGAAGCTTAACATTTTTTAAAAAATAGATTGTATCTATATGTTTTTAGTTTTGTGTAAATTAAATATTTTATAAGTTTAATTTAAGTTTAATAAAGTCTCTGTATGTGATTTAGTTATAGATATTTGATTTTGGGGGTTTCAGAAGACTTATGAAGACTTTCCCGCTCAAAATTAGGTTTGCCGCTTAAAATTCTAAAAAAATAGTTTTTCCACTTAAAATTAAGTCTTCCAATGTCTTATAAAGTCTTCCAGAGAAAGTCTTCTAAATTTTTCCAGAGAAAGTCTTCTAGTGTATTAGTTCGTAAAATAATTTATAAATTTCATAAAAAATATTTTAATAGGGAAAAAATCATAATCATCTAATTATAGACATTTGTAAGTGATATAAAATTTAGACTTAATAAAATTGAATAATTTTCAACATAGATGAGTGAATGTAAGTTAGCCATGATAATCTGGAAGACTTAAGAAGATTTTGGAAGACCTACTGGGAGACCTTCGAAGACCTCGGAAGACATACTAAAAGTCTTCCAGTAAGTATTCCCGAGTCAAAACTTTGTAAGACATTCGAAGACCTCGGAAGACCTACTTAAGGTCTTTCAGTAGGTCTTCCAAAGTTTTCTTAAGTCTTCCATAATTTACTATTTCCCGCTCAAATAGTAAGTCTTCTGGCCGAATAGTAATTCTTCAAAGTAAGTCTTCTAAGGTCTTCTAAAATCTTCTAAAGTCTCCTGTATCAAAATTTTTTAACATGATTGGAATTTTTGTCTTCCTATATAAATAAAAATTTACACATTCTCTTTATTCCTCTTAAATGGAGGCAACAAAAAGATACTATTTCTCACTTTAAAATTCTCTTACCTCTCTCTAAACTATTTGAATTTGATAACACCAAACATTATATCAATTTCTCATTTGTATATGTTTCTCACTATTTTATCTTGTTTTTGCAGGTTTTTTCATTACATAGATGTCATCTTTCACTCATTTAAAGGTAGATCTATAAATTTTTGATATGTATTTTTTGTGTCTTTTATATATTAGATTCTAGTAAGTTGTAGGTTCAACATAATGTGATTGTTTTAGTTATTATTTAAGCTTAAAACATTTTATTTTGATATTTTTCTCTGTTTTGATGTCATTTGAACGTTTTTAGATATGCAGGTTTTTTCAGATCTGAGGCAGACATTGGAAGACTTACAGAAGACTTTCCCGGAAGTCTTCTAACATCGTCTTAAGTCTTCTGACGTTTTCTTAAGTCTTCTAACGTCGTTTTAAGTCTTTTGGCATAGTCTTCTTCCATGTCTCCTTTTTCACAGCAGATCAGAGCGTTTTGGTAAGTTTTATGTGTGATTTTCTTATTTAGTACTCTATTGTTGCATAAAGTTCTTATCTTTTTTCCAAACTAAAATTCTCCAACCTCTTTTTAATCTCTTTAAACATGAAAACACCAAAAAATATATCAATTTCTCATTTTATGTGTTTCTCACTATTTTATCGTGTTTTTGTAGGTTTTTCATTACATAGTTGTCATCTTTCACTCATTTAAGGGTAGATCTATAAAAAATTTATATGTATTTTTGTGTTTTCTATATGTTAGATTCTAATAAGTTATAGATTAAACATAATGTGATTGTTTTAGATATTATTTAATCTTAAAACCATTGTTTTGGAATTTTTTCTCTGTTTTGATGTCATTTGAACGTTTTTGGATATGCAAGTTTTTTCAGATCTGAGACAGACATCAGAAGACTTAAAAAAGACGTCGTCTTAAGTCTTCTGACGCCATTTAAGTCTTCTGGCGTAATCTTAAGTTTTCTGACGTAGTCTTAATTCTTATGACGTAATCTTAAGTCTTCTGGCGTAATCTTAAGTCTTCTTGGAAATCTTCTCTCATATCAAGTTGAGTCC